AATTTTAAATAGTACATTTTATTCTTCAAGTAATGATTCACCTGCAAACTCTCCATCTGCAGGTAAGTCATAGATTTTTTCCAAATCGAAATCAACTGATGCATCCTCCTCCTCCTCAATATCTTTTTGGAATTCACTGCTTTCGGTAGATATTTCTTTCTGCTTCTCTGAATCTTCAATATGTTCTATCTAATAGATAAATAATTAGAATTTAGAATATAATAACCAAAATTAGGTCTGATTTGATAACATTATTCATTTACTTCCTCTGTAAATTCTTTTTCTTCAAATTCTAATTCCAAAAATTCTCTTTCTGTAAAGTCTGTCATTATCTCATAGTCAATACCATCAGGAAATTCTTTGAAATCTTCTATGTAAGATACTAATTCTTGTGGTATAGTTTCAAGCCTTGGAAATGAAAAATGAATAAATGAAAATTTTAACTGATACTTAAAGAATAACCTTCTCTTAACTATTTATTTTATTCTATTTGGTGTATAAATGTTTCGTTATAATGAAGCAAAAAGGTAAAGTTTCAAAACTAAAAGAGTGAAGAAAACATTGTGTACATAGATTATATTGCTACTTACGATTTAACAATGTTACTTTGCAGTTTTGATTGTCCTTTAATAAGTATGTCTCTCAAAAGTAGAAATATTTCCAAACAACAAAATTTTGCCATATCCTTATAATTACAAGGACACTACAAAATATTCAGATACATGTGTAATTAATTTAAAATTAATCTTTAGTAATTTGAAAGCTGAAGCTGTCAAAACTATTTTAGCAAACCTTAAGTGAACATGTTATGGTATATTTGAAATCATAAATTGTCTCCACAAGTGCTCTTATTTTGCATTCTAATTTTTTTAGTACATATTTTACAACATTAATTTTCGCTCTTTCTTTATGAAGTAATGTTTTCACTGACGATAATCGGAAATTGATATCGTTTTCTTCTTGACGAGCATTTTGAATTAACAATAAATATCTCTCTTCAGCTTCAAGATCAGGAATATTAACAGGCAAAAGATATTCTTTCGCATTTACAAATTTTTTTCTTAAACATTTTAAAACTGCATCCTGTACTTTTGAAACTACTATATTTTGTTTCACATATGAAGATCGTACACCAATTCTTTTCTTGTGTTCAATAACGGAGTTTCTTAAAACGAGGAAAAAATTAGCACAATTCCACATAAAAAAATTCCATGAATATAATTACGAAAAAGAGAAATATATTTTAAACTTATTTGATGTAAGTCAAAATGAAATCTTATGAAGTGTTACTTGAGATAAACCTGTGTATCTATTTTCGATGAAATGTCTTTCGAAATTTGCAATAATTCATTTTTTAACATAATATTTTCTCGCATTAATCTTTGATTCGGTAAACTTATGTGTTTATTAGTTTCTAATTGAAATTGTGCCGCCAAATCAAGAAGACAGTCATACATTTCATTCTTGCACCTAAATAGAGTAAATACTATAATTTTTCCAATATAATTCTTTTCAAATTTTCAATAAATAATAATGTAAATAGAATAATTTTTAATGGAACGCATGACAGATATAAATTGAATACATTTCTTTATCAAATTCAATTTTCCGTTTGATACTCTCCAAGATTATTTTTACATTTTCTTCGTTCTTTACCATTTGCTCCTCGTTCGCTTCAAGTTTTTCTTCTAAAGGAATCTGTAGTTTTTTAAAATCTTCCAAAACATTAATTTTTGCATCTAGAGAAATAATTCTCTTTTATTCGATTTACTATTTTGCGAACGTGTACAAAAAGGATGAAAGGAAGTAAGAGATAAAAGGTAAATAAGAAAAATTTTATAAGTTACTTAAAACTTTAATCTGAGAAACCAAATCAATTTTCTTTTTTGTGTACTTTTCATTGAATAATTCTATTTTAACCTCGAGAGATTGTTTATCCTTTACTCGATCATTTTCCAGAGAATTGATTCTATCTTTTAAGCTTTCTATTGAATTACTATAAGAAAAAACTTGTTTGTTTAAATTTGTAATTTCTTCAACTGTTTCTGCATCTACCGTAGCTGAAAGTTCATTCGTAGATTCGATTTCTTCCAACAACTCGTTATTCCGATTTTCTAACCTAAATTTTTCAATTTTTATTGTATTGTACGGTTAAACAATAAAAGAGTGTAACAGAAATAAAAAATTATTTAATAGTATATTTATGAAATTTGACTTCACTGATAACCTGTTTATTCTACTTTCAATATCCGCGATTCTAATATCGTAAAAAGCTTTTTGCATGTTAATAATTGTAGGTTTTTGCTTTTGGTCTTCATTACCATACGACTGTAATGTTACTGGTAATGATATATTTCCTTTGTCTTGTTCATATAAATCCATCATTTTTTCGTGAAAATACTTCAATTCTTAAATACTTGAAAAATAAAATATTAACATGTATATGAAAGATAAGTATAAAGAAAAGAATTAACAGCAAATGTCAATTTATTTTAGCCATGTGAACTTTACAATAAACTACACTGTGTCAAATTTTGACAACCTAACAAATATATTATTCCGTTACAAAATTCAGTATGATATATTATGTTTTGCAGCATGTTATAGTTATTTATTCATAATGATAAAAGTAAAGTCATGTGAAAAACTAAATTAATGGTTGCATAATTTTTTTAACTTTTATATTTTATAAAATCTGGTATTCGTGACACACACATACGGCAGCCATTCAAAATCCATTCTAAGGAAAAGGAATTTAAAGACCACTTAGGTAATAATTAAAACCATCTATGACATTATATCTTTTTTACTTAACTTTCTATACCCAAAAAGATATATCGAAAAATTTTAGTTATATCTTTTTGCACAAACATTAACAATAAAAGAGTGTACCGGCATTACGTTAGTATGTATATTAATATTACATATATTCAAACGAAATTTTATTTTATCTAGTATTTTTAAGTTTTTCTGTTACTTTCTTATATTTTTGATGCATAAAATATATTGTTACTGTTATGTTAATATAATTAATTGATAAGAAGTAGTTAGTACAAGAAGAGTAACGATTACAGTAATGGTTTAATAAACAACTATTATTTAAATTTTAGATTAATGAAGAGTGTATTATTTGTCTCTTATTAATTTATATATTTTTCTTTACTATCAATATTTTAATGCTACAAAGGAACTAAACATTATGTATTCAAATTGTTGCGTATTATTATCAGTAATGTAATTTCTCTAGGTTCGGGCTTTTATCTATTGAATTTTGAAGGAATATAACCAATATTTGTATAATGTGGAGCTAACTTCACTTATTTAACATACAGAGCATACAACATGCAAAACTTTTGAAAGCAGTCGTGAAACAGCTGATCCATCGATTGTTAAGTGTTCAACATACTTTGGTGACCAGTGACTGCAGAAAATTATAAAATATCACTAAACATTATTGATTTACCATGAGAAATTAAAATTTTTGGATGTGACTACGAAAAATCATTTGTGCGATAACCGAAAATGTGCGTTGACGTGTCTCAATGACGTAACTTTGTCTGCCACGAAAAGTCGAATTCTCGAGAACAATACCTTAAGATGAATTCAAGAAAATCTTTATCAAGCTGTCCAAACTAAAAGTAAGTAAGTATATATAATTATTTTATTATAAATCTTTCCTTTTGCATAGTGTTCGTCGAAGTTTAGGTTAGAGAACAAAACAATGTAACACTTTTACAGTTGTAACACTTGTATACAATGAATGTTGATGTGTCAAACGTATTTTGAATGTTGACATTTTTCTATTGGCTAAATTATGTAAAAAATATGTTTGTTTTTATATTATTCAAGTATTCCCTTTTATTTTTTAATATAAGGAAGAGAAGCGATTATTTATGATAATTAAAACTAAAATGATTGATTGATAACTAATTATGGGTAATGCAAAAGCAGAATAAATAGAAAATAGATAATTTTCAATAATTAACTTTTTTTATTTATATTAAGGTCAGCTGATTAATAGAAATACAATCAAAATATAATTTAAAAAATGAAACTAAGAAAGGAGTTACTTTTACTCTTGCTGGTTATGTCTGCTGCATCTGAGTCAGATGTTCCCAGAAAACGATCAGATGCTTCTGAAGAAGAAGCAGAAGAAGATGTTAAATTAGAAGAGAATGCGTTTGAACGTCTGCAAGAGTTAAAGGCTTTACATGACACCATTTTGAAGATAGTGCCAGCTTCTGAACCATATCTTAATAATAAAATTACAAAAAGGAAAGAGGAAGTGGAAAATGAACCAAAAACAAAGGAGGAGAGTCCTGTAATGAGAAACTTTTGGATGAAAACAATGATAGCTCAAACTAAGAATATAGATTTACCAAATAGTAATTTAAGAATTGAAGTAGAAGATACTGAGGAGAGAACTCAAGAAGATACTGAAGAAGAGCAACTTGAACCTCTTACTGAAGAGACTCAGGAACCACTTACTGTGGCGCAACAAGAAGGTGTGTTAAACTAAAATTTATAATTCCTAAAAATATTAAGCTTTTTTTTTATATGGTGAATTGAAGTAACTAATAGATTGTTAGGGAAAATGTTAGTAACCATGACTGATGATTAATAATTTTTATTAAAACTGAATTAACTGTTTAATTGAAATAAACTTTTATAAATTTTTAGCGGAGCAAATATTTAGGAAAGCACAAAGACTTCTGAATGCCACACGTTCAAATAAGGAAGAAGCTTATGAATTATTAACATCTGCAGCAATTCGTGGGCATCGTGAGGCTTGGTCTATGTTAGCATGGGCTCAGTTATTAGGAACTCAATTTGGTTCAACCTCTTCTAGTCAAGACATTCCAGGAGCTTATGAGATATTTAAAGACCTTGCTGATGCGGGTCTACCATCTGTTCATATGGTATATAAATTCTGATAGTTATGCTTCAGATTAAGATTTATAATCATCATAATAAAATCTTAACATGAATCTATAAGCTAATAAATTCTTTTTAGGGTTTGGGCTTTTTATATGCAACAGGATTAGGTGGAGTAAATGCTTCACAAGCAAAGGCACTTCTTCATTATACAATAGCAGCCATTGGTGGTGATACTCGTGCACAGATGGCTTTAGGTTATCGGTATTGGGCTGGTGTTACAACACCAGCTTCGTGTGAAAGAGCTTTAGATTTTTATCGTAAGGTAGCCAACAAGGTTGCTGAAGAAGTTTCTCTTAGTGGAGGGCCAATTGTTCAGAGAGTTAGACTTTTAGATGAACAGGAGAATCCAGCATACAGTTCCGGAATCTTTGATCAAGACTTAATAGAGTATTACCAATTATTAGCAAAAAAAGGAGATATACAAGCCCAAGTGGGTTTAGGGCAGTTACATTATCAAGGTGGAAGAGGGGTACCATTAGATCATGAAAGAGCATTACAATATTTCCAACATGCTGCTGATGCTGGAAATCCTCTTGCTATGGCTTTTCTTGGAAAGGTAATAGATATTTTTGTATAAATTATTTATTAAACAAAAATACAACAAAGGTAAATACTTATTTATATAAAATATTATGAGTTGCTAAGCTGCTGAACTAAATATATAAGATTCGTTCTTACAATATTGATACTACCTAATTTATATAACATTGATATTATATTTAATTATACATTATTGTTTTACAGATTTATTTAGAAGGTAGTGATATAGTAAAACAGGATAATGAAACGGCATACAAATATTTCAAAAAAGCTGCTGAGCTTGGTAATCCTGTTGGACAAAGTGGCTTAGGTCTTATGTATCTTTATGGAAGGGGAGTTGAGAGGGATACTGCAAAGGCTCTTCAGTATTTTAGCCAAGCTGCAGAGCAAGGTTGGGTTGATGGACAGCTTCAACTTGGGAACATGTATTTTAGTAAGTTTCTAAGAACTAACTACATTTGTCATTACACAATTATATTTTCCTGTGACTAAGCAACTCATTCTTAAAATAATAATGATATTTAATCATCTAATAGGTGGCACAGGAGTAAAACGAGATTACAAATTAGCTAATAAATACTTCAATTTGGCAAGCCAATCTGGTCACGTTTTAGCATACTATAACTTAGCACAGATGCATGCCACTGGTGCAGGCATGGTGCGAAGCTGTCCAACTGCTGTTGAATTTCTAAAAAATGTTGCTGAAAGGGGTAAATGGAGTGACCAGGTAATGGTTGCTCATAACGATTACAGAGAAGGCAGAATAAACGAGGCTTTTGTCAATTACGCTCTCCTTGCGGAAATGGGTTATGAGGTTGCGCAGAGCAATGCTGCGTTTATACTGGATAAAGGAGAGACTACGATATTGTCGGAAGAAGAAGGGTTGGTTAGAGCTCTAACTTTGTGGGCCAGAGCTGCTGCACAAGGATATTCTGCTGCTCAGGTACGTCAATATAAAAAAAAATGGTCAAATGGTAAAAACTACCTAATCTAACCATATTCACTTTAAGATACATTCATATTCAGATAAGGAAATAAATAACAGTGTACTCATTTAATCACATCAGAATTAATGTAGAAATCTTATCACATTTCAATCATTTTTGTTATCACTTTAATAATCTTCAAATCTCTGAGACGTTTTTAAATTTTATTGATTATTTCAATTACATATTTAATCCTTCCATATTATTCTCATATACATGCTAATGCACATACATATATTGATATAAAAATTGCATAAGTTTATTCATAATATTAGTAATCAGGAGAGATATTCAGTGTTTTTAAACTTTTGTTTTGATTATAATATTATAATTATTATTGAACAATATATACGTGGTACTATTTACAAATAATTTTTTACAATAGGTTAAATTAGGCGATGCTCACTATTATGGTCGAGGAACGAAAGTTGACTATGAGGCTGCAGCTAGTCATTATCGATCAGCTTCTGACCACCAACAAAATGCGCAAGCAATGTTTAACCTAGGATATATGCATGAACGTGGTTTGGGCCTGGCAAAGGATCGACATCTAGCTAAACGGTGTTATGATCTTGCAGCAGAAGCTAGTCCAGATGCAAGGATTCCTGTAGCATTAGCTCTTATTAAACTCTCGTTTCTCTTTGGACTGGATTATCTGCAAGAGTTTAGCCTTGTTGATCATTTGAATAAATGGGATCAACTCTTGGGTCAGAACTGGGATCTATACCTTATTGGACTGCTCACTGGCATGCTAAGTTTAATTATTTACTTTCGCAGGCCACAACCACCACCTCCGCCTAGGATTAACTAATTCTTTATTATTTTATTTGAATCCTTTTTCTTTTTTTATTCTCTCCTTTAGATGAAGTGAAGTTTGTTACTGATGGTTCATAAATACATGCACGTGCGTGCATATCCATATGTTGTTTTCATTGAATCACCTTATTTGCACAAGATTGTTTCAAATTCTAGTGAAATAGAAAATTTTATACTTCTGAAGTTTTCACAGTGTGTGAGTGTGTATAGATTTATGTGTCATCAATTCATATTTATTTGTCACGTCGTAAAGTTGTCAAACTTGTTAACGATTACATTATATTTTAATTTTCAAAATGCACAGTTTTTTTTGTACATATAATGTAGAATCAATTCTTGAGAAAATTTGGAAATACGTTAAGGAGGTGAAAATATTCATACTACAGAAAATTAAATTTTTTTAAATTATAAGTATCTATCACCTGTTTCATTTTTTAGAAATTTAGTTTTTGGATTATAAAATATTTATGAATTTATTTCAAATAGATTTTTATGTTTAATATTTCTTGACATGTATATGTATGTATATTTTGAAAAAATACATATAAATAATAATACAGAATCATGAAAGAAAGTGTAAATGTTTATGAATGAAGTATAATATTTAAGATAAAAAGTCGTTAATATTCAATCAATACTTTCATAATGTTATACACATGTGCTTAGCAGGTAAGTTTTAGGAAGCATATTTTTATAGAAATATAAAAATTATTACCAGAATAATACAATTATTAATTTGTTATGTTTATTTTACACGATTAATGAAAAAGCAAGTTTTTCAATATACGAAATTCGATATAATGAATTTATGTAAAACATTATATTTCATTTAAAGAAGTATGTAAATTACATTATCATATATTTATATGGGAGAAGTATATTCTGTTTAAAAAGGTTATGTTTTTTTTTATTAAAATTGTGAATACCTGTATAAAGCTGCATGTTTAACT